AGGGAAGGGCACCTGTGACACTTCTTTTATTTATTTACTAGAGGCCTGATGCACGAAGATTCGTGCAAGAATAGGCCTTGCTTCACCTGGCTGCTGGCAACGCCTTCGCTCCCGCCAGAGCCGCCTTTCTGCCTTCCCACGCTGCCCAGAGGCCCAGAGTGGCTGGGGCAATGCAGAACACCTGTGTCCCGCCCTGTCCCCGGCCACTCAGCACCTGCGTATGCAAAGTAACCCACCATCTTTGTTGGGTTAATTTGCATACTCTCTCCTGTTTGGCTGGTGGGCGGCATGAAGGTATGGTCAATTTGCATCTTTCTCTTTTATTAGTGTAGATTATTTTGAATGCTTGCCACATTTATTAGGTAACCAAAAGAAAGTGCCTACAAAGGTGTTGTATGTGTGCACCCCCATGTTCCGAGTGGTTTAGGGTTCAGGATCTGGAAGAGGAGCCGCACACAAATGAAAGAGAAGAGACAAGAGATAATTTGGGAATATTGGGGGGGCCAGGCAGGCAAGTCCAACTCAAGGGGAAGGACCTCCACTGGTGCCCAGGCCTCGCCAGCCTTTTATTCAACTTTGGTCACACATAAAGCCCTTAGTCAGGCAGTAATTGTGGTAGCAGACAGACTACCTTAAAAGTCAGTAAATATTAGAAAGATTTACTCTGAGACTATTTGATCAGAAAATAGCCTGAGCCCCCATTGTCAGGACTAGACAATCGGTGCATAACTCAGGCCCTGCCGTGGGTTCAAGGGTCACCAGCTTCCCGGGATCCTTGTTTGCACTTCTTGCTAGTGAAGATAATGGGCAGCCTCCCACATCTCCCCCATTTCTTTTCCTTAATAATTCTTGAAGGATGACTGCCGCCTAAAGGGTTCGAGTCCTTTTAAGACTCTTCATTCTGCATCTGCAGAAGCCCACAGGGACCAGAATTCAGGTCCTGGTTGAAGTCCTGCTGGTCCCCAGTGAGGCGGCCCAGCCCCGGGTAGAGAGGGGGTGCTCAGGGCCCGCGGTGCTGGAAGGTCTGGCGTGGTTCCTGCAGCTCCTCCAGGGAATCCCTGGCCTCAGGCACACAGCGCACACAGTGAGGAAGGCTGGGTTCCATGGTTCAACTGCTGAGAGGAAGGTTTCCAGTGACTCCTTCCCTGCACATTTATACCCCCCTGGGCTCCTAGGGGTCCAATGGGAAGTGAGTCAGGCTGGGTGGTGCCAATTGTGCGGAAGGTGGTACATAATGAGATTGAGGGGGATCTGATCACCCTGGGTGGGGCTAGATAGGATTAAGGTGTCTTGCTTGAGAGCCTTAAAGTTTGTTTCTTTGTTTAAAACAAACCACAGTTAGTCAGATATGCTCTTTGGAAGGTTATCCTATCCTATCTAATAATAGACAAACATGGTAATTGACCATACCTTCGCTACGCCTCCCATTGGCTAATCAGCATGATATGCAAATTAACTGCCAACAAAGATGGCCACTAATTTGCATTCTTCAGGCAGATCCCGCTGCGCCACCCAGCCTGGGGCGCTATCCCCAGCCACTGGCCACCCCAGTGGGAGATCCTGGCCTGCTGTGTGTGGGGCGGGGCAGGCGGGGCCAGCGGCAGCACGATCCAAGTGGCCGCCCGACCCAATGCAGGATCTGGGCCTGCCATCTGCGACCGGGGAAGACAGGGCAGACACCGCGGGATTTGGCGTGCCATCTGCCACCAGGGGAGTGGGCCTAAGCCAGCAGGTGGTTATCTCCCGAGGGGTCCCAGACTGTGAGAGGGCACAGGTTGGGCTGAGGGACCTCCCCTCCACCCCCGGCCAGTGCACAATTATTGTGCACCGGGCTTCTAGTCTTCTATAAAAAACATTCAATATGCCCGACAACTTTATCCCATTGTCTACTGATGGGCACGTAGATAGCTCATGTAAACAGTGCTTAGCACGTTATGGACCGCACTCGGGGAGGAATCTGTCCCAGGAAAGTCTGTGCGTCCCGCAGGAGGAAAAGAAGCAGCAGGGCTGCCTACAGGGCAGTCTCAGGGCCCCCAGGGGTGCGGCTCCTCGAGCTGTTGGCTGCCTTTGTCCGCTTCCTGGGGTGCAGCCTGGGTGCTGGGCACTGGTGCGGGCGGCTGGGGCTCAGCACGGCACCAGGAGTGGGCGTCCCTCCATCCCCTCTGGGGCTGGTGCCTCCTTGCTGGCTCAGGAGCAGCAGAGCTGTGTGGCCTGGCGCCCTGGACTTCCCCTCGAGGGGACTGCGGATCCTGGAGGCCTGGTTCCGGCCGTGTTCCTGGCCCCTCTCAGCTCCGGGACCCTCCGCGTCCCAGGGAGGCGGGGGGTCGCACATGGGGCGGCTCAGTGCAGGGACATTGTCCATGGCCCAGGCCCACGCTTGCTCGCGGTTCAGGCCCGGGGGCAGGGTGGGCTCCAGGCACACACACTGCCTCCAACACGAGTCTCCCAAGGCGGATTTGTGACACTTCTTTTAAAGGAAACCCCGGGTTTGGGAACCTGTCTTTCAGGAATCGTGACCAGATGTCCGCTGGTGCTGAAGCTGAAGAAGCAGGTGGCGGGAGAGTCCCTGTGGACGGGGAAGATCAGCTACCGGAGCACCGAGCTCCGGCTCCAGGACCCCTCCCAGGTGGAGAGGGAAATATACAAAGGTGAGGCCTGGGGCTGTGGTTGCAGCTGGGCTGCTCCCCTCACTGTCTGACCTCCTCCAGCTCCTCCTGGGCCTCAGGGCTTCTTAAGCTCCTCAAGGGAGTGCCCTCTTCTCTTCCCAGGGAACACCCTCTCCTCCTCCCAGGGAGCACCCTCTCCTCCCAGGGAGCACCCTCTCCTCTTCCGAGGGAGCACCTTCTCTCAGGGAGCACCCTCTCCTCTTCCGAGGGAGCACCCGCTCCTTTATCCGGGGAGCACCCTCTCCTCCTAGGGAGCACCCTCTCCTCTCATGGAGCACCCTCTCCTCCTCCCAGGGAGCAGCCTCTCCTCTCAGGGAGCACCCTCTCCTCCTCCCAGGGAGCGCCCTCTCTTCTTCCCATGCGCTTCCTCCTGCTGATGCCCCTGCCTCTCACACTGTCCCTTCTACCCCCTTCCTATTCTTTCTTTGCTTCTCAGTTAACTCCCCCACCCTGGGAAGTGTCCCCACAGGACTCCACCCTACCCCCCCAGCTGTCCTGGTCACCACTGTCTTGGGCCGCTGCTCTAAACTAACCCCAGCAGCCACTTGGTGGCCACGTCTCCACGCAGCCTCCCCAACAGATCCTAGCCACCCGCCCCCCATCATTTCTGGAGGCACAGCCATTACCAGGCCTTTGACCACACTTTACCAAAGCCCGTGATTCATGTTAGGTAACAGAGCGATAAAAAGCTCCAAGGCTCCTGAGCCCACTCCACACCCTGAGAGGGGCCCTGGCAGTCATTGCCGCCCGCAACACCAGCCCTGCCGCCCCCCTGCCCCCCTGGTGGCTTCTCCCCTGCCTGCTCTCACTCTGGTGTCAGCCAGGCAGGAAGGGTGACGCTGATGATAACAAGAATCTCTGCAGTGACTACCTCAGTCCAGGAGGAGAGGCTCTTCGTATCGGCATCCGAGCGGGAGGCCCTCACAGGACGTCCTGGGCTCAGCTCCCGAGAACCCCGCACCTGGAGGTTCACCGGAGGGATCCCTTCCAAAATGGAGAGGCCCAGGCCCCAATTCTAGTGCTCGCCCCAGTACAGAAACTCCTCAAGTCCCTCCATTGGCAAGTTCCCTAGCTTGAAATTGCACCAGCCCTGGGGCTGCCTGGCGCCCCCCTGCCCTGCAGTGCTCGCTGACACTGTCCTGAGCTCCGTGGGCGCGCACACAGCAGAGCTCATGCACAGGTGTGCGCTGGGGAAAGGCCCTGGGTAAGGGTCTCCAGGCCAGGCATCTGCAGAAGAGCCCCTGGCCTCCCCTCTGCTGCTGGTGGGGGTACATTGGTGCAGCCACTCTGAAGACTGGCAATATCCACCAAGGCTGGCGGTGTGCACCCAGGACGCCCGCCCCTGGGCACCCCCCAGCCAGATGGCCCCGAGTGCCAGGTTCTAGGATGTGCGTGACAGCACTGCTGTGGAGCTGCTCACCGGGGACGCCCAGATGTCCCTCAGCGGGGGCCTGACCCAACGCAGGGTCTAAACTTGCAGTCGGACATTCCTCTTGCAATCGGGACCACTGGTTCCTAACCACTCACCTGCCTGCCTGCCTGATCACCCCTAACCACTCTGCCTGCCTGTCTGATCACTCCTAACTGCTCTCCCCTGCTGGCCTGATCGCCCATAACTGCTCTCCCCTGCTGACCTGATCACCCCTAACCGCCTCTGCCTTGGCCCCTGCCACTGTGGCTTTGTCCGGAAGGACGTCCCATCTAATTAGCAGATTATCCTTTTATTAGTATAGATTTGTATTTATATATATATTTTTTCTCGTTATAGAAGTAATACATAGCTCTATTAGTTCTCTATTACCACATAACAAATTACTCCAAAATTTAGCAGATTAAAACACAAACAGATATTCTCTCACACAGTGTGTGAGTGTCAGGAATTGGACACAGCAGTGATAGTTTTGACTCAGGGTTTTCAGTGAGGCCGCAGCCAGATGTTGGCTGGGGCTGAATTATATCTGAAGACTCGACTGGGGCTGGTGAACTCTCCCTCACATGGCCATTACAGGAGGCCACACTTTCTTGCTGGCTGCTGGCAAAGGTGCCTTGGTCCTGCCCTGTTGTGGACCTCTTCATTGCTGCCTGGTGGCCTTATGATGGGGCAGCTAGCCTTCCCCAGAGTGAACCATCCAAGAGAAAGTAGGAGCAAGCCATGATGCCTTTAATGACCTCATCACACTATCGCTTCCACCTTATCTATTCTTGAGACATAAGTCCCTCTGTCTGACCCCACTCAAGGCTCCATCTTTTGGTGAGAGGGATGTTGAAGGATTTGTGGACATAACCATCACCACACTCAGTGAATACCCAATGAAAAATATTTAAAAACATAAAGAGAACAGAACCTATCCACAATGCCAATTCAAAACATCCACAGAACCCATCCACAATTCAAAACATCTGAATAAATCAGATGTTTTCCTCTAGGATTTCTGAGAGTGTGTGTACATGCTACTCCTGAATACACGGACGGCCACCTCAGTGGCCTGAGATCACTCTGCAGGTTTCTGTGAAATATGGCCAAGCACCTGGGACTCTCTGAAGCTCCTATACTCTGGATACCAATAGTCGCCTTCAAGAAAAACTGCTTTTTCTCAGGTGGGTCATTAACTTGGACTCTGGGTTTCTCTTCTCTTGGCCTCCATAGCCCAGAACACCATAGCTGGGAATGGAGTTGGCATCAGCCACGAGCTCATCAATCTGGAGATCACCTCCCCCGAGGTTCCGGATCTGACCCTCATTGATCTTCCTGGCATCGCCAGGGTGGCTGTGGGAAACCAGCCCCAGGACATCGGACTGCAGGTGAGCCTTTCTGGAACTTGGGAATGGGCCAAGCTGAAGTTGGGGAGACTTTGCGGCCTCTGCCGGTCACCCCAAGGGCTGTGGTGTGACTCCCCAGCCCTCACTCTGAGTGACTGGGAGGAGACTGGAACAAGACCTCCTGGGAATGGGGCTTATACTGAGGATCTGAGTAGAGCCTGACAGGTCATGGAAACAAGAGAAATTGACTTGGTGGGACTGGGCGTGCATGGGACAGCTCCCATCCTACCTAAAATAAAGAATCTGGGCCCAGCGTTGGCTGTCTTGAGATAATCAACAGATGCCAGAAATTCAAATTTTCACATGAAATCTGCCAATTTTAGCAACAATAAAAAAATAATGGTATGTAAACTAATCAGAACATGGTCTGTGATCTCTGGGCAGGAGCAAGAAGGCAGCACAATGGGAGGGATGACAGCCAAGGACAGCAATGACCAGTACAAACCAAGAGCCACTGAGCCTGATGCTTCTCTACTGGGGAAGGAAAGGCTGCCTGAGCGCAAAGTCTTACTGGGATGCTTGAGTCACACTTGATCTTTGGGCAAGGCCTGTCCCCAAACTAACTCTGTCAAGCTTTGCTAAGCCAGCTCACATGGAAGCCGAGGAGATAGGATGGTCTCAGGTGCAAGGGTAGGGTCCAGGGTATGGTGGGATAGGGTTTGTCGGGGGGAGAAGATGAGACCCTTCTATCCTAGGAACTAGGGTCACTTGCCTGCCCTTTTCCCCTTTTATGGGGATTACTGCCAGGGTGGGGAAGCCAACCATAGCCAAACTCGGGGTGTGGCAGGAACCACCTGAGGGGGTCTCTGCAGGCTCTGCTGCTCTGGGAAAAATCTTGGGCAGTGAAGTGTTGGTTTCTTCCTCAACATCCACATCACCGTTCTGTGTCTCCAGGAGCAGTGCCATTCGCTCATTTTCCTTATGGAGTTAGTGACTAATTCCACACTTCTCACCCGCCAGGAGGGTGCTCATTCATCCATGCCGTGGGTGGACTTCCCTAGTACCTCTGGGCTTCTGGGGAACGTACAGCACATAGAAAATCATGCTAATAGAGTGATGATAATCTCGGAAGGCTTCCAGGAGAGATCTGGAGAGGAAGGAGAGGTTGCATCGGGCCATAAGAATTGAGTCTTCAGGAGAGAAGCTATACCAGTGATGGGCTCTGAGGAATAAGAAAAAATCAACAGAGAACTCCGTAAGGGCAGGTGGGGTGGGCACTCCAAAGGAAGGGGACAGGCCAAGCTGGGGCTCGGAAGTGTGAAAACGGGGTCACGTGCTGGGGTGACTTTGGTTTTCACGATGATGATGTGCTGCTGAGTCATCAGAAACCTGCTCTTCCTTTGTGTAATCCTGTGGCACCAGATCAAGGCACTCATTAAGAAGTACATCCAGAGGCAGCAGACCATCAACTTGGTGGTGGTCCCCTGTAACGTGGACATCGCCACCACAGAGGCGCTGAGCATGGCTCACGAGGTGGACCCCGAAGGAGACAGGACCATAGGTAAGAAGGAAGAATCGGGCCTCCAGGAGATGGGAAGGGAGGGGAGATCCTCGCCCATGTGGAAGGCCCTGGAGTTAGGTCCACTGTTAGAGACGCCCACATCCTGCGCTAGATCCAAGTGCTGTTCCAGCCCAAGCTCCATGGGCTCAGGGTCCATCCCTGCTGGTCATCTTCACTCACAATCAGGGTTAGATGAGCTGCCAGAATGCGCTTCTTCACCCTCCTTCTCATCGCTCATTGCATTCATGAGCCATTCTGGATGGGGACAAGACCCGCTTTACTTTACCCACAATGGTCCAGAAAGGAGAAGTGACCGGCCCATCAGTTCTGCCATAACACAGCGCAGGTCTAGGACCCCTGGGTACAGGAAAAAGACCGTCCCAGACCCCAGTGAACACACTTCCAGGCTAATGTTGGAGCGTCAGCATCTGCAGGATTTAAATTCAAGCAGAACTCTTTGTGGGAAACTGTGTTCTCCTAAATGTCCCTTCTTCAATGTCACCCTCCACGGCGTTATAGGGACTTGGTTTAAGAGCGCAGACTGCCTGGGTTTGGATCCTCATTCTACCACTTACCAGCTCCATACCCTTGGGCAATGCATTTAACCTCTCCTCGCCTAACTTCCTCATCTGCAAATGGTGCTAAGTCACAACCACTTGCTAGGGTTGTTGGGAGGGTTACATGAAGAATTATTGTGTGCACAGTTTCTCCCTGGGTTCTCCTCTCCTTCCCTGGCCACCTGCAAGTCACATTCCTGGTCACCTTGGCTGGCTGCTGCTTCATTTCTCTGACCTCTACATATTGGAAAACAGAACTTGGTTCTGAGCTCTCCCTCTATCAACACACTCTCTTGAAGTGACCTTATCTGTCCCTGCTTTTGAATTCATTCTACATGCCAGTGACTCCCAAGTCTGTATCTGTAACTTACCTTTCCCTAGACTTGATGTCTCCACTTGGATGTCCATTAAGTGTCTCCGAGGTACTGTGACCAAAGCACTAATTTTGGTACCACCCTCCCCCAACCCAATTCTCCTCCTCCCCAAGGCTTCCCCACCCCTTCATGGCCCCACATCCACCCGCCCGGATCTAAAGCCAAACCAAATCAGAGTCACTCTTGATTCCTCCTTCTCCTTGCTTCTGTGTCTAATTCATCTGAAGTCCTGGCGACCCTGCTACCAAAACTAATACCAAATCTGTCCGCTCCTCTCCATCCCCACAGTCACTACCTAGACCCAGCCTCCATCGTCGCCTGCCTGGGCTACTCAGACATGCTCAGGTCTCCTGGCATTCACCTTGCCCACAACAGTCCACCTTCCCCTGGCCTTAGACCTGTAAAGCAGGCCATGCCCTCCTCTGCTTTTACTCTCCAATGCTTCGGTCTCACATAGTCAAACCCAGACCACTTTGCCTGGACCACAGCGCATCTGGGACCTGGCTTCTGCATGCCCCTGGGCCCACGGCTCCCATCACTCCCCACCTCATCCACTACTGTCCAGTGCAGCTCAGTCAGCCAGCTCCCTCTCCACCCACAGGGCTGGCTCCTTCTTTCTCATTCAGGTCACAGCCCAAACGTTGCCTGCTCAGAGGCCCTCGTTGTCCAGCCAACCTACACTTGTCCAGCCGCCCAGCCTGTAGTCATTTCTTTGCCTTTCTTTTCATTCTCTGCATGACGCTTATCAATACTAGGTATTTTTGTTTATTTCTTATATATTACTAGGATAATTTATCTGGCTTTTTCCCACTAGAAGGTGGAGGGATATTCATGAAATCAGGAACTATGCCGTCTTACTCATTCCTCAACACCCGCAGCAGTGTGCTTAATAGCATTTGTTAATTTAATATGTGTGCATAACGCATTCAGGAATAAGCACACTTAAAAAGAGAAAAAATTCAAGCATCTAAACATTGCCGAGAGTGCCCTGCTCTGTGGCCCAACAGTGGGGTCATTACATGATGCTTCTGAGCTGATTCTGTAGCTGGAGGCATGTGTTTCACACTGAGGCGCAGGAGAAGGCCCTGTCTCCCCAGCCAGGGAGGTTCGAATTGCAAGCTTCCATTTTCATGATCTTACTCCCTTTTCTCAGAATGGAGTACAGTGACCCAGGCTTCCATGATGAGTTCTGGCTCCGGGGAAGGGCATTCCCGGCTGCTATCTCCGCTCCCACGGGAAGGCCCTCTCCTTTGCCAATGGAAGGTGCAAACGCAGATTCAGACAAGACTTGGTCTGTGCTCACCTGAAGGTCTGTGCTCACACAAACCTTGTAGTGAGTCTAAATAACACCTGGTAATAGAACAGAAGAGAAATGAAGCTGCTTAAGTGCCAGGGCAGCTTCTTAGGAACATGGTGCTGGAGCCGGCCACCTGTGATGATGCTGCTGCCCAGTGCTGGCACCAGCAGGCACCCAGTGAACGTTTGTTAAGTCAGTTACACAAGGCAATTGGTGAACTGAGTGAGTGGGGGAGCAAATCTGAGGGGTGATGATGAAATGAATGAATGACTGGCAGGCACTGGGCAATCAAGGATGCAGAAGGCGCTGTCGGTCCTCGCCAAGAAAGGATCCCATAGCCCCACAGGGGTCAAGTGTATTTGAGAAGAGAACTGACCTTTCCATGCCCTTCTTATCATCTCACAGGGATCCTGACCAAACCGGACCTGGTGGACAAGGGCGCCGAAAAAAATGTGGTGAACGTGGCGCAGAACCTCACGTACCGCCTCAAGAAGGGCTACATGATAGTCAAGTGCCGGGGCCAGCAGGAGATCACCGACAAGCTGAGCCTGGCGGAGGCCACCAAGAAAGAAACGATGTTCTTCCAGACGCACCCGTATTTCAGGTGAGGGCCTGCAGGACCCTGGAGCTGGACTCCATGGGAGCCGCCCCCCCCTCCCCCCCGCCACCCCACGACTGGCCAACGTGATAACCAAATTGCATATAAAAATTATAGAGTGGCCGAAACCGGTTTGGCTCAGTGGATCAGTGGGGAGTGTGCAGGAGGCGGCTGGTCTATGTTTCTCTCTCATCGATGTTTCTAACTCTCTCTCTCCTTTCCTCTCTGTGAAAACTCAATAAACTATATTTAAAAAAAAAAATTATAGAGTGTAGTGGAACCTCTCCTTGACTTTATTTTTAGTGTAAAATTCATTGGCTTATTGAAACAAATCATTTTTTCATGGGCTGTAATGATGGTGCTGATTAAAGGTTGTAATTTGGTGTTCCACAGGGCGTAGGGCACTTGGGTTTTCCAACATGTTTTCACCCTCCTTCTCATTAGCCTCCCATCAAATCTTAGGAGATGCACATGGCAAGTGAGGGTCTTCCCACTTCTATAGACCAGGATGATGAGGTCAAAGCAATAGTGGAGGGGACAGGACCGGAAACAGATCTCTGAGCCTCCAGAAACCAGTGTTGACCATCGTAAATGGTGCACGTTAAACCCCGCTTTAGGGCTCTCTCCACTGCGTTAGAGCTGCAAAGGAACGGGTTTTTGTTAGGTCTGATCACGTAATTGAATGGATACTCCCTCCCCTGGGAACGGACCTTTAAACCACTGCACAGTGCACAGTCCCTTTCGCTTAGACCACATTCCACTTGCTAAGACCATTATCTCTCCCCTCTGGACCTTCCCAGGATCCAGACCACCCAGAGGGTTCTCTGCCCAGAAAAAGCCCACCACAGTCCTTTAAACCTCCGACTCCCCGACCCTGGGGGCTGGCACCATTTTGGGGCTCAGCCCATCTGGTTTTCCAGATGACCTAATCAATTCCTAATTCACCTCTTTTGGCCTCATGCCTTCTTCCTTCAGCGACCCTAACAGTTTTATTAAATACAAATGACCCTGCAGGACACTGAGGCTTTTCCCGCTGAACTGGGCCCTTTGCCCTTTCATGCTCTGCAGGACCTTGATGGTCCTGAGCCGGGTGGGAGCAGCACAGTGAGCCCCAGCGGCCACTCCTGCTTGAAGGAGAGATGCGGCCGCAGACCAGGTCTGCTACTCGCTATGTGCCCTTGGGCAGCAGCTCGGCCTTTCTCCTCAGCTCGGGGAGTGCTCCACAGCTGCTGCACAGGATCGCGTTTCGGGTTAAATGATAGGACCCACGCCAAAGTCCCGGTGCACCCACAGCCAGCACTCCATGAACACCACTCGGTCCCTTCTTTCTTCCCCTCTGCCCCTCCTTGGAGGGAGAAACAGACCATTTTTGTTATTGTTGTTGTTTGTTGTTGTTGCTTTAAATATATTTTTATTGATTTCAGAGAGGAAGGGAGAGGGAGAGAGATATAGAAACATCCTATATAATAAAAGGGTAATATGCAAATTGACCCTAACAGCAGAATGACTGGTCACTGTGTCACATACTGACCACCAGGGGGCAGACGCTGAATGTAGGAGTTGCCCCCTGGTGGTCATTGTGCTCCCACAGGTGGAGCTCTGCTCAGCCACAAGCCAGGCTGATGGCTGCCAGCACAGCGGTGGTGGCGGGACCCTCTCCTGCCTCCTCAGCAGTGCTAAGGATGTCTGACTGCAGCTTAGGCCTGCTTCCTGCTGGCAAGTGGACATCCCCTGAGGCCTCCCGGGCTGCCAGAGGGATGTCTGACTGCCAGCTTAGGCCCGATCCCCTGGGGAACAGGCCTAAGCCAGCAGGTGGACATCCCCTGAGGGGTCCCAGACTGCGAGAGGGCACAGGCCAAGCTGAGAGACCCCCCTGAGTGCACAAATTTTTGTGCACCGGGCCTCTAGTTAATGATAAGAGAGATTCATTGATCGGCTGCCCCCTGCTACCCCACATTGGGGATTAAGCTCCTAACCCAGGCATGTGGCCTGACTTGGAATCAAACCATAAACTCCTGGTTTATAGGTTGAGGCTCAACCACTGAGCCACGCCAGAAACAGACCGTTTTCGATCACGTTGGGGGCCCGCAGGGAGAGGGAACTGCTTGCTAAGTGAGAAGCAGATTCTGTGATACTCGCGCCCACGGGTCTCAGTCCTGAGCAGCAAAGCCTCCTGGTTGTGTCCTGCTCCAGGGTTTCTGGGTCTGGGGTGGCACCCAAGAATTTATGTTTCTATCAAGTTTCCAGTTGAGGCTGATAGTGCTGGTCCAGGGGCCACACTTTGCAAACCACTGCTCACGGGTTTGGGGAAAGTGAGGTCAACTGTGGGCCCCAGGTTGTTCTGTGGTCTCTGGAACTCACTCACCTGCATCCCTGAAATGTGATGTCCTTTATCAGCGCCCCAGTTCCCCCTCCCCCAATCCTGGCACCCACCATTCCACTTTTGGGTGGTGTGAGTTTGGCTATTTTCCATTTCTTACATAGGTGGAGTCAGGCAGTGTTTGTTCTGTGACTGGCTTCTGTCACCTCAGCATAACGTCCTCAAGGTTCATTTTTGTGGTCACATATGACAGAATAGTCTCCTTTTTAAAGGCTGACTCGGATCCCATTGCATTGTTAAAACAAACGCAAACGGGGGCCAGACGTGGAAATCCCCTGAGCAGACAGAAGCGGATCAGTCACACAGGCAATGCTTCACCTAGCTTAGTTTACAAGACAAGCCAGTGCCCACAGGTGTGCTCTTCTTGCTTCTGAAAATCATAAACGAAACTTAAGTTGTTCCCCCAAGTTGACATGAGGTAACCACTAACCAATTTCCTTAGCTTTAAGGATACTCTAATATTAGAGCCAATCACCACGCAGAGGGAGCTGCCACTGCTTTCTCACTCCACGCTGCTTGGCGACGTGTCCCTGAGCCTCCCTCCATGTTTGGGTCCGAGTGCCCCTGGGTGGCAAGCTGCCTTGCTGCTGTGCGCACAATGCGCTCTTACCGGTTACTGCTCGGTGAGCTGGTTGTACTTCTGTTTTTTTCTGAACGTCTGACAGCGTGTACTGTACGTACCATATTTTCTCCACCCACTCGTCTGCCATGGACATGTCGGTTAGTCCCACATCCTGGCTATATTCTGTACATATCTGTCTTTATTACCACATCCTGTGGTCTATTCCGTCCATGTCTGTCCATGTGCTAGCACTCTATTCTTTTGTAATAATAAACTGTAGCTTTGTAATATATTTTGAAGTCAGGAAATGTGGTGCCTCCCACTTTTTATTTTTAACATATTTGTATTGATTTCAGAGAAGAAGGGAGAGGGGAAGAGAGATAGAAACATCAACGATGAGAGAGACTCATTTATCGGCTGCCTCCTACACGCCCCCTATTGGGGATCGAGCCCGCAACCCGGGCATGTGCCCTTGACCAGAATGGAACCTGGGACCCTTCATTCCTCAGGCCGACGCTCTGTCCACTGAGCCAAACCAGCTAGGGCTGGTACCTCCCACTTTATTCTTTTTTCTCAAGATTGATTTGGCTACTCAGGGATGAGTATTTGTTACAAAAAATAAAATACGAGTTTGGACAAGTCACTGCACTGCTACAAAGTGAGGTTGGCTTTGTTTTCCTGTGGATAAAAAGATAACCTACTTCATCGGTTTGTTGGGAAGATAAAAAGCGAAGGTGGATGTAACCTTCCTAGCACCGTGCTTGCCTCGGTTAGGCTCATCCCATAAGGAGCACTTGTCTCTCTCACCCGCTCCCAGGCTTCTCTGAGCCATGTGTCCCCCGGGAGCTGAGTGAGCTCACCCACCCGCTCACAAAGCCCAGGCCTGGGAAAGGACCGCGTGGGCCTCCCCGAGCTCACCTCACACGCGCTGTCGTTTCAGAGTCCTCCTGGAGGAAGGCAAGGCCACGGTGCCCCGCCTGGCGGAAAGACTCACCACCGAGCTCATCTGGCACATCAACGTGAGTAAGGGGTGGCTGCGAGTTATAAAAATTGCAGCCTGCGTGAGTCACTCTCTCGGTCATGAAAGGGCTAAGACACTGCATTGAACTCTCCAAATAAGCAAACAAGCACATTCTGGAAACCAAATAAACGGCTCCCGGCCAGAGGCTCCCAGGAGAGCGTCTGAAACCGGGGAGGAACAGGGCATAACCTGGAAATAAAAAGGGGAATCGGTCAGCGTGCGGGAAGCAGAAAGAAAGCCCGCAGTACCAGCTCAGCGCGGTCAAAAGCAATGAACGCCAAGCTGGCAGATTTTTCTTTTTTTGATCGTCTCTCAACACTTCACAGTATATAAAACGTTTTCCCAGCCTCAAACTTGTAAGGAATACGTGTTTGGTTTCCATGGATTCTCAAAAATGGGCAACTGCAGACAAACTTTTCATGATGTTGTTCAAGATGGTGCAAGCATGGCTTAGTGCTTCTTGAGACAGTCATGGAGCTTGCCTGGACCTTTGTACATGAGGCTGAACCACAGGGCAGGACTGCAGGTTAACTCAGAGCAGAGATGACACCGGGCCTGGGTTTCGTTCATGCTAAACTGCTCAACCATGAGTCAGACCAAGGCAATGAATACTTTTGAGCCAGAAAACACACACTCAAAACGTATTTGTTGGGCCCTGGCTGGGTGGCTCAGTTTGTTGGCGAGCCATCCCATACACCAAAAGGTTTTGGGTTCAATCCCGGTCAGAGCGTGTACAAGAAGCAACTGATCAATGTTTCTCACATCAATGTTTCTCTCTCTCTCTCTTCCCCCTTCCTCTCCCTCTAAAAAATCAACTAAGAAAAAAAAGACATATTTGGTGAGAAGGAGGCAGTGGACCTGAAATTGTAGTGCACACAAAAATCACCTTGAAATCTGGTTAAAGCTCATAGCACTGGGCCCCAGTCCCAGAGCTTCTGAGTTAGCAGGTCTAGGTTGGGGCCCCCGAATTTGCACTTGTAAGTTCCCAGGTGACCTAGGGAACACACTTTGAGAAGGACTGATTCTAGTGGAATCCCCTGTTTCCAGAAGGAGGCACCAAAAGATATTACCCCGTCTAATTGAAAAAGCAAACAAACACGTTTTTGCAAAAAGATGTTGCATTTTGCTGACACATTTCTCAGCATTTAAATTTTTGTTAGAATTTGAATTTAAAACTTTTAATACTTTAATTTTGAAATGTATATCAAGATTCAATTATGGTAATTATAATTTGAAATATAAAAGTTAGAAACATTGATCAGCTGCCTCCTGCACTGGAATCGAACCTGGGACCCTTGAGTCCACAGGCTGATGCTCTATCCACTGAGCCAAACCGGTATATAATATGTACATATGTGTGTGTATGTGTATATGTGTATATATATACACACACACATATATACATCCTCCCAGTGGGATTCTGCTCCTGTGCCCAGGAGACCTGTCAGCTCACGTCAAGCTGCGGCGTTTCACTGTTTGCTCTTATTTTGTTCAGAAATCACTCCCGCTGTTAGAAAATCAGATCAGGGAGAGCCACCTGAGCGCCACGGAGGAGCTGCGCCAGTGCGGGGAGCACATCCCCAACACCGACGCCGACAAAATGTTCTTTCTGGTCGAGGTGAGGACTTGGGGGGCTCCCGGTGACACTCGGGCCCAGAATCTGGCCACTCCCTGCGGTGGCCACACCCTTCCAGGTGGCCCAGCGCCTCTCCAGGCGGCCTCTGTGCCTCCCTGCCTGGGTCCCGTGGGAGCCCTGTCCTCCCTCCGGTGTCACCCGGGAGAGGCGGGGTGGGTGGGTGAGGTACTGCCAGCCCCCATGCCACCCTGTGCCCCAGCCCGGCTTCTCAATCACAGCACAGTTGAATGACATTACCTCTTTTTCAGAAAATTAAAGTGTTTAATCGGAACATTGAAAGGTTAGTAGATGGAGAAGAAGTTGTGAAGGAAAAAGAGACCCGCTTATACAACAAACTCAGGGAGGAGTTTAAAAACTGGGTCCTCGTACTTGCAGCCAATTCCCAAAAAGGTGAGTCTTGGGACAGGGCTGCCCCACCAGCAGTGTCTTATTTACCACGGCCAGGAGCTCCTCCCGGCACAGGAAGTGTGCGGAGCTGACTGCCCACACCGAGACCCTGGCCCGTGGGAGCCTACCCTCACCCACTCCGCAGAAAGCAGCTCCACATCATGGACTTTCTTCTCTCTTGCATCTAGACCCGTGGTCGGCAAACTGCGGCTTGTGAGCCACATGTGGCTCTTTGGCCCCTTGAGTGTGGCTCTTCCTAAGCCTTAGGAGCACCCTAATTAAGTTAATAACAATGGACCTACCTATATACTTTAAGTTTAAAAAATTTGGCTCTCAAAAGAAATTTCAATCGTTGCACTGTTGATATTTGGCTCTGTTGACTAATGAGTTTGCCGACCATTGGGCTAGACAATCCCACTTCCCCCATTTCTCCCTGCCAGTAGCCCCTAAGCTGAAACCAGAGGTGAAGGCTTTGATAAGAGTCTCCTGGCTCTATCTGGCATGCTTCCAACTTCCATTCTGCTCCAGCCAGGATGGAAGTAGGCTGCGTGTGTGTGTGTGTGTGTGTGTGTGTGTGTGTGTGTGTGTGTTGCATCTTTGTCCATACAAACAAAAAACAGCACTACTCATTTCCATGGTAGAACTCCCCCAACCCTAGTTTAGCTGAATTTTTGAGAGACTTGTAAGTGAAACAACATCTAAATTTTTATTTTCATTGAACTCATCCGCTTCCTTTCTATCAACTATACACACTCAGCTTCTCTCTCAGGGTGATGACTCTCAGTTGAAATACATTTCTTTTAGAGTCAGATTTTGTTCCTGAAAAATCACTGTCAGATCTTGTATTTTTTTTTTTTCCATTATGAAAAGGACTCCATTTAGAAGCATTGCCTTAGGGTACGTACAGTAGATGAGTAAGCCTTTTAAAAATGCTTTTATCTTTAAAATGCCCGTGGTTTGTTTCACATTGCAGTTAAAAATATTATCCATGAAGAAGTCTCAAAATATGAAAACCAGTACCGGGGCAAGGAACTTCTTGGGTTTATCAACTACAAGACATTCGAGACCATCGTGCAGCAGTACATCCAGCAGCTGGTGGAGCCCGCCCTGAGCATGCTCCAGAAGACTGTGGGTGAGGACCGCTCCCAGCACCGCCCATGGTCTCCTCGCCTTGAGAGAGAGACTGGGGTGGAATGATCAGTCACAGGTCTCCTTTGCCCATTTTGGGGAGAAGGGCACCAGCGCAGTGGGCTTCACCTTGTCAGACCTACCCCTCCCCGCAGCTGTGTGAGGAAGAGTTGGATGCTCACCCGGGAGGATCACACACGCCACGAAAGGACAGGAAATTGAGGGCACATGCTCAGGGGGGTGGTGACCATGGATTTTGTGTCTCCCCAGGACTAGGTACCATCCCTTCCTTCTCTCACGGTCCGTAGATCTGAATAGGGGCACGTGATTTCTCCGCCCTGTGCCCGTGAGCCATTTGACTCCTGCTTGCATTTCACTGATGTTTGGTTTTTCCTTTGGTCAGAAACCGTCCGGCAAACGTTCATTGACACGGCCAAAACACATTTTGGCGAATTTTCCAACCTTAACCAAACAGCCCGGGTGAGTACCCCCAGTTCGCCTGCTGGGCACCCGTGCGGATTTATTAGGGTCTAGCCTTCGAAAGAAGGCGGGTGTGTACTGCCCGTTCGACGTGCGTGCGAGGCTGGGGATAGCATTGTGGGCGTGCTGGGCGGGCGACGGGAGCAGTAGTGTTGTTTTGCTTCTGCCCGGGAGCTGGGGGGCCCTTTCTGGGAGAAGTGAAACAGCACTGACTTTGTTCTCTCGGTCCCCTGCGGCCTGGCAGGGTGGAACCGAATGCATGACTGTCCCTAGTGACTGGCGGGGATTTGGGGCCTTTTTCCTGCCAGAAGGACAGCGTTGTCTACTAGTCCATGTCCAACATTTTTATTAGTTTGACTTAAAAAATTGCCACTGCTGGGTGGGTTTCCACTTAGCAACTTAGCCACTCTGCCTGAATCCCAGTCACAGTACAGGGAAGAGAGTGGCTCTGGATAAAACTGCCCCGGCCGCAGCCTCAGCTGTGGCCAGAATCTCATTCCTCACTCTCATTCTGGTGGGCAAGGCAAGGATTCTGTCCTTCTCCCGGGGTACAACTTAATTTCTCTTTCCCCTCTTCACCCGGTTGGTGAAAATTAAACGTCACTTCTGAGCCCCCCAACTTCCCCAGGGGCGGCCCGAGCCCTGGGCGCCTCACCACAGGGCCTGGACATGCCTGGTCCTTGGTAGTCACAGCTCCCTGCCGGCAGCTCCCCGGATGTGCGCCCTGCTTCCCAGGCCTCGGCGCGTGGCCCCGGGTCCCCTGTGCTCCCAGGTGCAGGGCTGGTTCTCCTAAGCTCTTCCAGGCTGGCCTGGGCACCGGAGCTCTGCTGCAACCCCAGGCCACCCTGGGGCCCAGGGACCTCCAGCGCCCACCAGAGCTCCATCCCCTGGCGCCATCCTCTGAGAGCTCAGAAGTCTCACTGTAGCTGTCTGTGCCCTGCACGGCTGTCCCGGCCACCATCCCAGACACACCCTCCACCATTGTTCCTGCTCCTCGGAGCCTCGTCCGAGCCAGGGGCCTTGTCACCTCCCCTGTCATGCCTCTTGGGAGTGATACACGGGCCATTTCCATGTTCAGGCCCCAAATCTGCAAGGGGGTATAAAGCATATATTCTTGTTTGCCACATACACCCCATAGAAAGAAGAACCAAGTCCCTGTGAAACCCACCTGCTCTCTCTCTCTCTCTCTCTCTCTCTCTCTCTCTCTCTCTCTCTCTCCCCTCTGAGGTTAACCTCTGCCTTCAGTGCACAACAGTCTCAAACTCAAAAGCCAAGAAGTGACTTTTCTCCACTGTCATCCATTCCTTTCCCAGAATGCCTCTGACTGTGTGGGTGAGGCAGGAGTCACAGGGTTTCTGGCAAACAAAGATACCAAGCGCTTACCCCACTGTGCTCATCGGCACTGGGGTCATCCTTGAAAGCTAGGATTCAAGCCAACTAGAGATACAAGAGTGATGGACATGAGAGTGTAAACTGAGCCACGGTCAAGGAAGCAGAAAGGGGGTGATGCGGGAAAATGAAGGTCCGGGCGCAGAGAAAGAGTGGGTAGAGATAGGTGGGACTGGCTCGGGCAAGCGGGGGAGGAGCACACCGGGATCAGTGAGGACAGCAGCAAAAGACGGAGGAGGGACCTTTGGAAAGTCACCATTTAAAGCATCAGGCCTCCTTTGACCTTAAATTATTTTTTAAATATGTTTTTATTGATTCGGAGAGAGGAAGGGAGAGGGAGAGAGCGATAGAAACACCAATGATGAGAGAGTCATTGATCGGCTGCCTCCCGCACGCTCCCTACTGGGGATCAAGCTCTCAACCTGGGCGACAGGGAATCGAAGAACCTGAGCTCCCGGTTCTTGGGTCAGCGCTCAATCACTGAGACACCTTAAATCATTTCTAACTCTGTGTTCGACGTCACAGTACTTCCCGAGTTGTTTGAACACCGAGCGGGACCCGAACGGCAGTGACGTGCTTCTCTTTCTTTTCCCACCAGAGCAAGATTGAAGACATAAAAACCAAGCAGGCAGAGGCGGCCGCGAACATGATCCACCTGCAGTTCAGGATGGAGCAGCTCGTTTACTGCCAAGACCAGATTTACAGCGAGATTCTGCAAAGAATTCGGGAGCAGGTTTTTAACACGGACGGAAGCGTGTCACAGGCTCCTTCCCTGAAACTGTCTGCTCCCAATAACCCGTCTTCTGTGTCCTCCATCACTGAGATCGGGATGCACCTGAACGCATACTTCTTGGTGAGTGTGGGTGCACGTGGCCCGTGCGGGGGCACGCCGATTGCGAGGTGCTTACCTGGGCGAAGAGGGGAGGGGCCCTCTCTGCTCTGATAAACGACTCATCTATTCTCTGTCATCTTATGGGAACCCTATCAGACACTTCCAATGAATTTGCCCCAAATCAGATTCTTCATGTGGCACAGCATGTACTCAAAAGTAACTCCAACCCCAAAGTTCTTTATATTCTATGCTGCGCATGAAATACATTTCTCAGAGGACAGCAAAATACAACTCGCCTTGCTGGTCATGCTTAGCTCTCCTTGATGTTTAGAAGGCGTTCAGCTCCTGACGTGGTTGACACCCACCAGGTTCACAAAACAGGAATCAGATTCCTTTCCCGAGATTATGGGGCCCAATCAGGTTCATGGTTTCTAACCGCAGCCCCCACCTCCCCCTACCCCCCCACTCATGGACTAAAGCAGCAATTTTCAACTGGTGTGCCACAAAAATATTTTAAAATGTATTTTTATTGATTTCAGAGAGAGGAAGGGAGAGGGAGAGATAGAAACATCAGTAAGGCCCTAGTCAGGTTGGCTCAGTGGATAGAGCATCGGCCTGCAGACCCAAGGGTCGCAGGTTCAATTCTCAAGGGCACGTACCTCAATTGCAGGCTCCTCCCCAGCCCAGGCAGGAGGCACAGCATTTCACAAGAATTTTTTTTTTTAAATGCAGTACCTGACTATTTATTTAGGGGCACTGACCACTTTTCCCTTAGATTTTCAAATGAAAAAAATGACAACAGCCAACACAACATAGCTGTTGTGTTGAATGAATCAAAATTATACCTATTTTTTGATCAGATTGGCAGAAAATATAATGTATTTTTTGGTGTGCTGCAGAATTTTAGTAATTAGTTTATGAGTGCCATGCGCTGAGAAAGGTTGAAATCACCGGACTAAAGTATGAGGGCATACAGAATGGAAGGTAGCTTTTAAACTGCAAAGAACCCAACTATTGAAGCCTTTGCATAATCAGAAAAGAAAGTTGAGTTACCCAGATGTGGAGTCCAGCTGCCAGGCAAGCTGGCCTTGCCTGTGGAGAGAGGGCGAGAGGCGAGGACTGAGGCAGGTCCTGATCTGTCCCCAGAACGGGGCCAGGAGGTCTCTGCCAGAGGTGGAGCGGGGCCGGGGAGGGGCTCCTGGGAAGGCTGGGATGCCCACCAGGTGCTTGGGGTTTGCTGGCCTGCCCAGTGGGTTCTTAGTGCTGAGG